TGCCGGGACTTCCTGGAACTAGAAAGAGGCAAGGAAGGACTCCTCCCTAGCATCTTGACAGAGACTGGTCCTGACGATACCTCGCTTTTGGACTTGGAGCCTCCAGAACTGTGAGAGAATACACTTTTTTGTTGTTTAAGCTACCCACTTTAGGGTTAAACATAAGGGATTAGGATGGAGAAGCTTTCAATAGTTTCTTTCTTCAATTCTTGATGGTGTGTGTTATAGGAGGGCCAACAGATATGAACAAGACGTTCAAAGGAGAGGGCATCTGAACAATCACTCATTGTTGTCGGGGGTTGCTACCAGACTCCTGGCACCCAAGGGGAAAGGTTATCTGACTTTTACTACCGAAACTGTCATTAAAAGACTTGGAGAATGTAACTGCCTCCCCCTCCTGCAGCCACGCATGCCTTCCGACTGCTTGGCTGATGTCACCTTCCCCTGGAAGGGCTAGTCCGGTATGGGCAGAACAGTTGCTATGCGCATGCTCGTACTTCAGAGTCCACACTGGGTGTGCACACGCCTTTCCCCCACTGGGCACCAGGCAAGAAGTGTGCGAGTGCCACAAAAGCCCACAGAACAAACAATAGAGCTGACTATAGTGACAGACCTCCCCTCCTCAATATTCATAATGAGACCCCACAACAAAAGCAACCCCTAATGCCATTCCCGGTGCAGTTGTCACCTGGCAACCTGCCTGCTCAAACCTCTCCCGGGCTACTATTAAAACTTCTCTTTTCCATACTTTTCACATGGCTGTGGTTTTATTTGTGTGTCAGGACAGGTCTCTTGTCTTAGCGATCTGGGCCCAAGAATCAAACATCCCATCACAATGTTTCCCAGCTTCCCAACCACTAATAAGAGGCCTCATGGACTCGCCAGAGGATGACAGAGAGAACGTGAGAAAGCATCCCGTCAAGGGGGGTGGCACTTGGCAATCCCTTCTCCTGTCCTCCTTTTAGAACTTTGGGCATGCACACACATAGACCCAGCATTTTTCCAGCCTCTGGATGCAGGACTCAAACCACCAGTCAGCCACATGGGACCCAGTCACCTTAACCACCACACCACACTGGCTCTCTTTTTATAGTTTTATAATTAAATCTCAGTGGTGTCTGAGTCCCTGGGCTGTGATCTTTAGGAGCACGGCAGTGTCCCTTGCTGGCCAGCCTTTGTTAAGGAGAACAGAACGCTCTGGGCTTCAAAGTGGTTACATTTTTCTCTGGGCGTGTTTTAAATTGGTTACTTTCCCCCTCCCCTTGTCTGAAGAAGGAGGATTGATCTCCCATTTTCACAGTGAGAACCTAGTGGGATGTTGATGGTAAATCTCAGAAAAATGTAAAGTCTCCCAAAGCCTGGGACTCCAGGAGTTTTGAACTCTTAAGCGGTTCTGCACTCAGCCCAACAGCTGCCATTTCCACGTTCCTGCTCTTGAGAGTTGCCAGCTCCAGGGATGCTTCTGCTTCTGGTAAGTTGGTCGGTCATGATTCTCGTTTGCAGGGTGGGTGGTTTGCGTTGTAAATTCAACTCTCTGAGGGACCTAAGAAAACTTGTTGATTTTCAGTTTGTTCAGGATTAAAACAAAACAAAACAAAACAGAGAGGGACAATAGGAGAGAGAGAGAGAGCGCGAGCGCGCACAAGCCACCAGGTCCAGGACTCAAACCATAATTGGCCACGTGGAAGTCCAGTGCCCTTAACCACCTCACCACCTGCCAGCCCCCAGCTTTTTTCGTGTTGTGGAGATGGAAGTAATAATTTCCAAGCTCTTTACCGTTGGTGCTATCTTATGATGACTTTTGACTGTTTATGATTTTGTCCTTAGGATTCAATTACCCTACTAGTTTTTCTTTTTCTCTTTCTTTCTCTTTTGTTTTTTTTCTTTCTTTCTTCTTTCTCTCCTTTCTTTTTTTTTTTTTTAACAGGTTTTTGCCATAGGGTGTGTGCCATCACCAGAGATAGGACAGTGAGAGGAAAAGTGAGCAATCACCCCCCAGGTGGAATGATCATGCTGTAACCCCTTCTCCTCTATTTTCCTCCTGGGATCTTGGGCACACACACACACACACACCATGATTTTTGAGCCTGGGACGCAAACCACAGTGGCCTACGTGGGAGTCCAGTGACATAGCCACTACGCCATCTGCTGGTCCCTTCTTTTCCCCTTTCAAAGGCATATTTTCACCATCTGCTGAAGATTATAGGGAAAAATCCATGGGGTAACAAAATTAAAAACTCGAGTGTCACGAAAGTCCAGAAACTTATAAAAACTCTCAGGGAAGTGACTTTCTGGTCTGTGATTCTGACTTCCCTTCTAGAAATTTCTGAAAGCCGCAGTAACTTCTATATCTGACCTTCCAGGCTGATAGTCAATTCTCTTATTCTGGCACCGAGCATTTCTTATCTTGTCCTTTCCGAAAATTGTTTCCTGTGTGCTTCATGGTCTTGCTGTAACTTTGAAAACAATTTGCAGTGCAAAGCTCAGGCTTCTCTGACCTTGCTAGCTGCTGGGGACTTGCACAAAGTCAGTTTGTGATTTGGACTCTGGGAAAATGGACCACCGGTTAAGTTGAAATTTTCCCCCCAGTTGGTGTGGTGCAGAGTGAGTCATGCGATCATACTTCTAAATTGCTAATTGCTGGTACATAAACCCAGTCATGGACTCATGAGGTCTAGTTTATGATCCTGGTTCTAAAAGGCATAGGCAATCCCCAGGAAGAGGGAATCTCACATCTAGAAATTTGCTCCAATTCTTTTTTCTCTTAATAGCTACATATATAGAGAGATAGATACGTAGATAGATATAGATATTGATATCTCTATTTATCATCTATCTATCATCCATCTTTCGTCTATCTGTAGTGCATGTTCATTGAAATAACTTGAAAAATACGGGTAAGAAAAAGAAAAAGAGAAGAAAAATTACCCACAATCTCATTGTCACTATTTTGATGTGATTCCTCTGGACTCTTTACTATGCTTTGATATTACACAGGACTCAGGAGAGAGAGAGAGTCCTTTAGCAATCAACAAACACCCACCCAGTATTACTATTGCTGCAGTTGTTACAGATGAGTAATATGTAAAAAAGAATAATGCAATAGTTCAGGAGTGTTGCTGACCCAGACAGAACATGATCTCTCTCTCTTTTTTTTTTTTAAGAATTACTTTATTTAATTTTATTCATTGTCATTATTTATTTTTTATTTTATTGAACTTGAGCAGAGAGACACAGACAGGGAAGGAAAGCGAGAATGCAAACTGCCAGGTCTGGGACTCAAACTATAGTCAGCCATGTGGGAGTCTAGCCACCCTAACCACTATGCCACCTGCCGGCCCCAGAACATGATCTTTGATGTCACAAATCTCAGGTCTCTCACTCACTGGGTAACCTTGGGCAAGTAGCTCGTCTGTGATTCAGTTTCCTCATCCGCAAAATGGGACTAATAGCACCTATCTTGTAGGATGGTAATGAAAGATCTGGTATTCGCAGAGCGCTTTAACACAGTGCTGGGACAAAGTACTCAAAACATGGAACAGTTGGAGGGAAAGAAGGAGGAGGAAGAAAAGTGGGCACCACAAATATCACAACTTCTGTTTTGGAATTACTGTGTTATTTTTCATAATGCTGACCATTATTTTTCCAATGGAAGATTTCAGGCCATTTAAATGTGGTTTATAACAGTTAAAAGCTCAGATGTCGGGCCAGCAGATGGCATGGTGGTTAAGGCACTGGATTACCATATGGCCAACCATGGTTTGAGTCCTAGACCCAGCAGCCTGAAAATCACAGTGGGTGCGTGAATGCGTGTGCCCAAAATCCCGAGAGGAAAACGGAGGAGAGGGAATTGCAACATAGCCATCCCCCCTAGGGGGTCATTTTTCACTTCCCCTCTCTCTGTGTCTCTCTCCTATGAGTACATGTGTTCTATGGAAAAAAAAACCTAAAAAACAAAACCCCTCAGTCTTTAGCTTGTCTTCATAGAATGCCAGCTAATAAATAAAGAAGGAATGATAGAATCAGATAATCATCATTTTGTAAAGATTCCGGTAATAAGGGTCTTTATATATTGAGCGGGGACATACAATGTCTGTCTTTCATAGTCTGGCTTGCTTCACTTAGCATTAAATCTTCCATATTTATCCACTTTGTATCAAATGATGGGGTCTCGTTGTTCTTTATGGCTGAGTAGTAGTCCATGGTGTATATGTGCCACAGTTTTTCAATCCAGTCATTCATTCTTGGGCATTTAGGTTGTCTTAACAATTGGGAATAATGCTGCCATAAACATGGATATACAGGTGTCTTTCTGACTGACTGTTTTCCTATCCTTTGGGAAAATACCCAGGAGAGGTATTACTGTGTCATATGATATTCTATTTGTAGATTTTTTAGGAATTTCCATATTGTTTTTCATAGTGGTTGTACTAATTTACATTCCTAGCAACAGTATATAAGGGCTTCATTCTCACCACTGTGTCAGGAGCACTTGTTATTCTTTATTTTTTTTTTAATCATACCATTCTGACTAGTGTTAAGTGGCATCTCATTGTGGTTTTGATTTGCATTTACCTTATGATAAAGAATATTGATCATTTTTTCATATGTTTTTTTGTTCATTCATATGTCTTCCTTGGAGAGTTGTCTGTTCAGTTCATTTGCCCATTTTTTAATTGTTGTTGGCTTTTTTGAGGATAAGCTGCTTGAGTTCCCTATAATTTATGATTACCAGTTCCTTATCTGATGAATACTTTGCAAATATTTTCTCCCATTCTGGTTGTTAGGTTTGATTTGAGAATGGTGGCAAAGTTAGAGGAGGCAAAGATGATAATACCAGAGTCAGGCTTTGGGGTTTAGGAGAGGTTTTTGCTATAGGGCGTGTGTGTTCGCCAGACAGACAGAGAGAGACAGAGAGACAGAAAGCAAGAAACCACCCCCCAGGGGGGATGGCCACGCCACAATCCCTTCTCCTCCATTCTCCTCTCAGGATCTTGGGCACTCACGCACACGCGCCCGGTGTGTTTTAAGCCACTGGGTCCAGGACGTGAACTGC